CGCCCAACTTGTGAAAGTGGAATGGTTGCAGGAGCTTATTCGCCTTGGAAGCACGCCAGATGACACCGATCCGTTCAAATTGACGCCTCTAGAGCGAGTCTTCAACCCCTCATTAGAGAGCAAATACAGACCAGTCTTTGCTCCTGCGTTGCCTCCTTCGTTGAAGTCCTTCAAGTTCTGGGAGCCAAACGAGGAGCGACTCCATCTCTTAAGGGGTTATCGATTCGTTCTACTCGGAGACTCGGAAGGAGAAGTTGACTGTGAGACGAGGGAGTTGATCATTCGTGGTGATGGCGAGTATGAGTGCTTCCCTATGAAATCCGGGCAAGCGAAATGGAGACAGATGCTTGCCAAAGCACAGAGGAAAGTAGAAGAGGCAGGGTTGAAAGTCGTGATCGTCACTCGCGAGCGGGTGATCCAGGTTACTGTCGGTTCAGACAAGTGGCAGGAAATGGTTGCTGATGCTCAGAGGTATATGGATTTTGTGCATGCACTACTATATCTTCCCTCCTGACCTTGGAAATTGCAGTATGTCTTTGCCTATCATCAACGTAGACACTATCCTGAATGCTGTGATCAACACTGATGCGTCGCTGATCAGGCACAGCTCCATCACACAAGGTAGATTGACTCCAGTCTTTATCAGGTTGTCCTGACCGCCACCTCCTTAGCGTCGTTGCTTGGGAGCGAGTCTCTACCAGATTTCGTTCCGAATACACATCCAGATGAACCGTCCTTGCCAACTGTGCCCAGGCAGAAGTCATTTCCTAGGGAGCAGGAAGACGTTGTCATTAAATCACCTTCTCCCTCACCTTCTCCCGAGATTCCTGGGTTGCCAATCCCTCCTCCGCCCCGCAAGGTATGCAGATCTATCTGTCGACTTGTCTTAGTCTTGGAGCTGATATCTTCAAGTCGCTCATTCGCCGTGCTAAACCTTTGTCTACAACGAGCAACAAAGAAGGCCATGCCCCACCAAACGTCAATAGTGAGACCCAGGCGGGGGGTTCGACATTCACTCTTCCCCCTGTATGTTACCTTATATATTGGTGCATGTCTAGTCCTTATGACATTTTAGCTCCCTCCAATGGCGCGATCGACTAGGCTGAAGCGAAGAGCTGCTACCGCTACCCAGTTACCAGCGGCGGAGGAGCCCGCCGCTGGAAGTGAACCGAGCCAGGAACCGCCTCTGAAGAAATTCAAAGCACTCTTCGATGCTAGCGATCCGGACAAGATGGCTGCCGAGGGTCCGAGCAGCCTCCATGCAGTTTATGACGTCGCTATGGGAGGATCCATTAATACCACTCGGGACAGTGACAGCCTTACACAGAACGAGTCACGGCCCCTGCGCTCGCAAACAGCCTTGCGCCCACGCAGACTGGGCATTGTAGCCGAGGAGGAGGAAAGCAGTCCTTCACAAGTAGAATCCACGCCGCCCATGTTGGCTCCTGATCCAACCAGCCAGCGTCATCCTCTGGAATCGGTGCAAAGTCTGACCCCAGATCCTACACCGCAAGAACCCCGGGGGTCGCATGTGGATAGGATGCATGGACCTGACTTGGGAGGGAAAGCCCATTCAAAGCAAGAGAATGCCAATCCCCGACAAACCCGCGCGGTCGACACCGATCAAGCCTTCCTAACTGCGCTTGCATCAAAGAAAAGGGGCAAGAAGGCCGAGGATGAATTTGACCGAGAATTCAACAACCTTCGTATCTCAAAACCGGATGTTCAACGTGAGGAAGAGGAGCGGACATGGGAGCTTTTGGGAGACTTCGACGCTGATGTGAGAAATGTGCGAGGAAACTTTATGGTAGTGATCGACATGGATGTTTTTCGAGATTCTCCTCGTCATACAACTGCTGCGCTGTGCAGTTACGATGGTCGGCCAAACTACAAGAAGTTTAAGAAGGTGGGCACTGTTGAATTCCTTTGGGTCTTTGTCTACCAAACCTTTCCAGACACCAACTCTTTCATCGCGGGTCCCTGTCGAGCTTGTGGTTAGAAGCGAAAACGACTATGGGGTGGGCTCAGGTATAGTCTGAGGCTCATTATATGAACGTCCTCTGACGCCGCAGCAGGTTACTGGAAGGACAGCAACACTGCAAAGGATTGCAGTACTTTGTCACCTCAGATGGCTACAACTACTCAAAAACGGCGAGCACCGACTGTCTTAGAATCGGATGACGAAGAAGTTATTGATGTACCGGCTGCAAGAAAGACCAAACGAGCAGCCTATGCAGCCCCTCAATCGCAACGAACAGTTTCAGCGAAGCGACTTTTCTTGGAATCAGACGGGGAGGGCTCCGTGCCAGACACGGAATCCCAGAAGGCAGCAGCGAGGTCACAGACAGCAGAAGATGACCCTGCACCGACCCTGCCTTCAAAAAGGACTAAACGACGTCATATCATTGCAGACGACGACTCGGATGATGGTCTTGCTTTCAAAGGATTCGGAAAGAAGAGGAGGGTACGGTAATGATTATGAGCGTACAGATACGCGCTACGCATCTCCTCATGCCTATAGTACATGCGTGTAATGTCTAGACAGAAGGGAGATCGCTAAAGAGCCCTCACAGCCAATTCATTATGAATAGAAAAGCCGAGCAAACGCTGAGTTTTTGCAGCCACTCGACCCCCGGTTTGGCTGACAGTGTGGATAATTCAATGCTGCTTTGTTGAAGCAAAGTAAGATGAACATACCGTTGTTCCTGGCAGACGAAGCTCTCGGGAGCACCCTCCCAATCGTCAAGAACGTTCTTGGTTGCGTTCCCTTGCGTTTCGTCATCATCACCGGATCCAAAAAGGTCCAAAGCTAGCTGTGTGTGGCTCACACCGGCGTAGGTTGTCACACATCGTGGGTTGATTAGAATGCGGGCTGGCGCGTACACCGAGTTTGGCACAGCCAATCGGACAGCTGGAAGCGTGTCTAGCGGAAGGTCAGAATCTGGCATGGCGTCGAAATCTGACCCTGCGTTGGCATCAGGATCCATAGGTGGGTTTGGGATCTGCCGGCGATGTCTGACTAGGGCATCTGGCGTAGATTTCACATGGTGCAGGGCCGGGTCAAGCACTTCGTCATCTTGGACACCCTCGAATGCTTTACTGACCCAAAGGTCCCTGCAGAACCATGCCTGACTGCTATCCAAACACTGAGCATCTGGAGTGCGCTGAGGCACGGTATCTGAGGAAGAGGAATTGTGGAAATCTGTGCCGTAGCGATATCTCAGACCCTTGTAGTAGGATTGAGCGGGATCTACGATGTGAGTGCCGGCTTCGCAGCAGAAAACTTGGAAAGGTAGGTGCTGGATGTACCGAGCAGCTCCATGCTTGTCTCGAGGTGGTACACTATCGGGTTTCGAGGACGACTTGGATTGTCGGAATTGATCACCATGAATATCTCGGGTGCGCCACCTGGACAGGACCAAAGACACTGAGGAACGATCGCAGAAGTGATTGTTCATCATATCTCACCTATCTGAAAAGATGAACTGCCCGCTGGACTCAGCCCAATCCATCCCGCACACCATAGAAGCTTCGTTTGCAATGCTGACCCTCAAAGTCTCCAAAATATCGTTAGGACAGGTAAACCCTTTGAGCCAGATTACACGGTAAAATGCAATATGTCGCTTCTCGTGCAGCTCTAAGAGTGGCTCTAGGGCGAGGTTTCGCATATACGCCTCTTCCAACGGGTAGTAGGCAGCAGCAGGATCTTCTGTCATTGATGGGACGCGGCGAATTCTGAAAGGCACACCGAGGAGGGTCAATACTGCTTCACAGAGATCTGTGAGAGTAGATGTAGAATCTGTAGAGCCATAATCCAGCATCGAGACGAATAGGTTGGAAGTGCCCAGACGTTTTGCCAACTGAACGATAACAGCGAGCTGGTCGACAAGAAAGTGGTCTGCCGAGTGAATTGCGAGAGCTATATAGTAGAGTCGGTCTTCTTTGGCAAGGTCATCGTAGGCGTCTTCATCAATGTTTTTGTTTTGACCAAAAGGCCTAATCAAGGTCGGACAGTAGGCGGCAACCCAGCCATTCAATGAAAGAAGGCTTTCTACGGCGCTGAGAACATTTTGAACGTCTGCGTGACTGGTCTCCTTTGCGGTGATGCTAAGCTAGTGATCAGGATTAAATGACAGACTTTTCTGGATCTGTGACTCACAACGGCACCTGGAATCGTGCCCAATAGTCTCTAACACCACCAGCGATTAAATCGTCGAAAATGTCCGGCCTGGCGTCCCTCCCCATCCTTCGTTGCATGAATTTGTGCTTCTGAACATTTAGGGTCTTGTCCAGCCCAGTAACTCTCTGAAGCACATTATATCCCTGGTACTCGGAGGTTGATGATGGTGCCGCCTCGGGTGATGAGGATAAAAGAAGGTGCACCGTCAATAAAAGACCCAAAGCTGCAAAGAGTTTTGCTAGACTGTTTCGTCTAGGTACTAAAGCCATGCAGAAGACCATTCCAACGCAAGTTGCAGGTGTTGAGGGCAAAGGTACCACCTTGATAGACCCTTTGTTGCCTAGGATCTGCAGCCGACCTTAGCTCAGTTGGAAGAGCGCGAGACTGTAAAGGATAAATTCATCTTGAGGTCGCCTGTTCGAGCCAGGCAGGTCGGACGTTGTCTTTTTGTTGTGATAAAAGACGTGGACAAGCAAAATGGAAACCCCCAGCACTACACCTCAGCAAACTAACTCAGCTTCAGTTCATGCTGAATACATAAGGATGACTCGGGTTCCGTGAACTTTCGGGAGTCCGTATGTATACTCCGCGCGCCGACTTACTGTTAGATTTCCATCCCCAACGATGTCTAAATGATCCCTACATTCTACTGCGCTCTACATTGCCCAGACCTTGTGTCTTGGCATCACTCTCCAAGGTACGTATCTTCCGACCTTTCAGAATTCAATCTCGTCTTCACGTGGAAATTCCTGTGGCTAGATCGGGAACGTTTCGACGAATCGCGATCGTAGTCCAAGGTGAGGGATGGCTCTGATTGTCAGCCCGCTTAGCTCAGTGGTAGAGCGCGTCACTTGTATTCATCTGAGCAATGATGAGGTCGGTTGTTCAATCCAGCCAGTGGGCAGTGTTTTTGCATCGTTCACGTGTCTGCATCAGACCTGACGGAGCTACATCGTGGCAGTGCTAAGAATGCAGCCGTGATGCACAGCCACACACACAAAAGGCAAGCATGGTAAGATAGCGGCAAATTGACTTGGGTAGTACAGTATATTAAGGCAACTTGTGGGTGATGTAGGAGCATTTTCACCCCATCAAATGCCAATGCCATGCCCATCTGTCAGAACTGAGCTGCTCGATTACTGCTTGATTATCAACTTCATTCTACCACTAGTAGAGATCTCTCTGAGTCATCCTTTGATACTAGCTCAAATAGCTCTGATGCTACAGTGACTCCATAAACCATTGCAATGTTTGGCCTAAATGCAATGTGCAAGGCATATCACAAAAGGGTGTGAGAATCTTGCTTAGCTCTGGTGACACACATTGTAGTAGTCACTCCTGGCTACAAATTGGTCCCTGGGTCATGTGATTTGCTTCAGGGGCTGTGGAGATATGCCAATTATAAAACAGTGATACCATTGTAATGATCTATGTACTCTTAGCTTGAGAGGTGGAATTTCAATGAAATGAAGGGATAGCTACAGTTGTTTGGTCCTACAAACAAATATACACATATAACTACTATGTCTGAGTTTGAAAAAGTTCACACACCTCTTTCCTTTCAACCACATTCATCATGTGTTCCCTCTCTACTACCCAAAAGAATACCATCATGACTATGCTTGACTCTGCTCATTCTGCTCATTCTATTGCCACATCCACTGGTTTTCATACCTCTACCATCTCTAGGCTTCGTGCCAAAGAGCACTTAGAGCTGTAGAAGTCCACTGGATGTTGTTCATTCAAGCTTTCCCTTGCTAATGTTTGTCATGCCATCCACCTCATCTTTACTTGCAAGGCAGAGAATGCTGTCCAGATCACCAAAACCTTTACCAATATGATTAATCAACCCCTCTACCCTAATACTGTCTGCCAGGCCTTGAAAAAGTTTAAAGGCTGTAGTCAAGCAAAAAATGCCCTCTTCTCTCTGCCAAACATCACAAGGCCCAGTTGGACTATGTCTATGCTCACAAGAACTGGACTGTGGAGGATTGAAAGAAGGTAGTATGATCTGATGAGACTAAAATCAATTGCCTAGGGTCAGATGGATGCAAATGGGTGCGGAAAAACCAGGAGATGTTATGCTGATGAGGTTGTGAGAGCTCAATTAGATAACAACCAACAAGCCCTATTGTCAAGTAGGGCAAGATCTATCAGAAGTCTTTACTAGTAGACTATAGGCCAATCAGTGAAGTGAGTTCTCAGACCAAGAGATAGCTGATTAAGCCATGTATTGTGTAGATCTAACTTGGGTTGTAACCAAGTAGAGTACAGGCTTTTATACTACAGGGGATGGCGCACAGACCAAGATATCCTAAGTAGGTGTTGTCCAAGAAAGGTAACTAGAGATAAGAGAGATATATGCCATTGGGCGGGTGGTCATAGAATGTGAAAGAAGAAAGATAAGCCCAGGGACTTTGCCTAGGTTCACTGGTTGTACCAAGGATCATAAGAGAAAAGGGGTCATGTGATAGCACAAGGTCACATGAAATGAAAAGAAGGGGCTAGAACAGTTCTACCGTAACAGAAGAGGGGCTCAGTGATAGGCTAGTAGAGGGAACAGTGAAGTTTGGAGGAGGTTCTTTGATGATGTGGGTGTCACATCCCGAAGCTTTCCCTACCCATATGACACACTTCCAGCCCCTTATGATCAAACCCTGAACCCCAAACCCCAGACTTTACCTTAAAAGATTTTCACCTTAACCTGATATCCCAAATCCTGTATTTGCTGTCCTGGACTTTTGTATTCCCATCCCAGACTTTTGTACTCCTATCTTGGCTATCTCTTAACATATGTTCCTTTCCTTTGACATCCCTTGACACTTACAGTTCCTATTGATAATTCCCTTCCCCCTGCTTCACTATTATTGTGCCATTGTCCTTAGTTATCATTCCATCATTCTGATGCCATTCTGATTCACCCTTACTATACTCTGGGAACTCGAAACCCTGACTCGTCCGATATACTTCAATAGTTTTATATCTTCTGGACTCTTCAGTATATAAACCCGCTTGTACTCTGTGATATTTCCTTAGTTTGAATATTGACTAAATCCTGTTCTATCCTCCAAAGTCTTTGCTTCACTCTAAAACCCCTCTCAGTCCTTAAGTTGAACTTAGGATTGTCTTCTGAACCTCTGCCTCAAAATTAAGGGACAGAACTCATACAGGGATGCAGCACATAAGCTGAAGCCAAAGTCCCTTGCCTCTCTGACCCCCTCTCAGGGATTTCTGACCCCTCACGCCTTCCCCATGCTCTGGACTCTCTGGGAATTCCAGGATTGAACCTAGACTTGACAGTAGGGCTGTATGACTTGGCAGGGAGTTGGATATGCTGCCAAGATTGATGGTAGGATGGATGGTGACCTTTACCTTCAAATTTTGAAGGATGAACTTCATGATTCCCTGAGGTATTATGGTCTAAATCCTCCTGACATCATCTTTCAGCAGGACAATGACCCCAAGCACACATGCAAGAAGGCCAAGGAGTGGCTAGAGAGCAGGATTTTAGGACCATGGTATGGCCTACACAGTCTCCAGACCTTAACCCCATGGAACATGCCTGGGGTTGCCTCAAAAGAAAGCTTGCAGAGTATGAACACCCTCCTAAAGGAATAGAGAAATTGTGGGAGAGAGTTTGGGTGGAGTTGGAGAGGATTTTAGCAGCAGAGTGTCAGAAGTTAATTGAAAGCATGCCTAGGAGGGTTGAGGCAGTAATTAAGGCCAAGGGAGGCTATACCAAGTACTGATATTTCCCAAATACCCTAATTTATCATAGAGTACATAAACCGTTGCAATGGTATCACTGTTTTATAATTGGCATATCTACACAGCCCCTGAAGTAAATCACATGACCCAGGGACCAATTTGTAGCCAGGAGTGATTACTACAATGCACATCACCAAAGCTAAGCAAGATTCTCATGCCCTTTTGTGATATGCCTTGCACATTGCATTTAGGCCAAACATTGCAACAGTTTATGGAGTCACTGTAAGTGGCATAAAGGATTTAGGATCATAAAGAGCAGACTCATTGAGACAGATCTCTGTAGATGTACGGTGGGATCTAACACAGCCTCCTTTCCATGTGGAGTCTAGAGGGCTGCACTCCATTTTTTTCCCTCAGGAGTTGAGACCTCCAGTTTGATTTCTAGAGCAGGGGTAGTTTTGACTGCATGGGCTTTGGATGCACAAGAAGAAGACTTCTGAAAATCCTCAGCCATATGTCCTGCAGCCCCACAGAACATGCACAGCTTGAGATTGAAATAACACTTGCATTCCTTGGAGGTTACTCGTTTATCTTTCCTGAGTTTACTGGAAAGGTCAGATTGGGATTTCAGGATAGGGGCAGAAGATTTCCCCTTGGAAGACAGTGAGGATGCAGCAGGGTTCAAGGAGTGATTGGATGAATTGATAGGTTTAGAAGAGGAAGAGTTTAGAGTGTTTTTGGACGTAGAGGATTGATTTCCTGAAGGCTTAGTTTGACAAGCAACTTTGGACTTGCATTCCCAGTATCTCCCATCGATAGTCTAAGTGAGAGTACAAAGTTCTCCTAAAAAGCACAGTTTCCCAATGTGAGAATTTTGTCCTTGATGTGATCAGGGAGTCCATTGTAGAAGTGATGTCTGAGGGCTCCTTTGCCATAACCCCTGGCCTGGGAGGCTAGGCAGTTGAATTCAATGATGTATCAGTTGATGTGGTGGGAGTCTTTCATGGAAAGGTGGTTGAGTTGATGTTCTGCATCACCAACAGAGTCATGGGGGGCAAAGTTGGTCTGGAGCTCAAGGACAAATTCCCTGTAGTCATCCATCTGGAGGAAATCAGGCTTAAACCACTTGAGGGCCATACCCCTGAGGGAAGACTGGGTAAAGGTAACCTTTGCATAGTTAGTCCAAAAAGCACAAGGATGGTCCTGGAAGTTCAACTTGCATTGGACCAAGAGGGCCCACAGCTTGCAAGGATCAGTCCCATCAAAGGTATTGGGTTCTCAAACCTTTATGCATGTGGAAAAGAAGTTTTCAGATTTGCAGTTGCAGCATAATGACTCAGCAAGGCCATAGACTGCATCTGCAAGTGCCATGATGGGGTTTGATGGCATGGCATCATTGGGGTCATTGTCGAAGGAATTGTTATCATCATGATTATGGTGATTGGGATTGTGATCGTCGTCACCACTGTTCCCATTGTCAGAGGGGTCTGGGGTATCCCCAAAGGGGCAATGACCTGTGGGAGTAGGAGTGAAAGTGCCCTAAGCTGGGGCTCTGGATGCAGAGATAGATGTACATATGCAAGGGAAAGTCATAGGAGGAGGATGAACTCATGTACAGAATTCAAGTATGTACCAAGATGTTCCAACTATATGTGACATTGACTTACAAATATTTTAAATCAGATCCCCCATGTTGATCTCTTCACAGAGGGTGCTCAGCTGCACAGATCTATCATTATGCAGTTGAAAAAGCAATGGGTGTGTGAGAAACACACTGGCAAGCATGGTGAACCCAGGTATTGCTTTGTTAATGCATGCAGTAAACATCTTGGCCTCAATCACCAAAATTGAAGCTTTGGGCAGCCACAATTGTATGTTCATCTGTTTGCATGTGTTCAGATATATATCTGAGTGTTTTTAGGCTACAGCAGATGCTACAAAACATAAGCCCCCAAATATTATTGAGTTTGATGGCCTACATAATGGCAGACTTGATGGCCATGTCAAACCTTGTGGTCACTTAGGTCCACATAGTCATACACCTTCATCAACCTCTCCTGATGCAACATCTCTCCTCCTTGCAGCTGTCATTCCACTCCCTACAAATCATCTTGTTTCCAAGACTTCCAGCTCTACAACTCTTCCAACAACTCCTACCAAACCCAGCAAGTCTTCTTGTCACAAATCTCCACCCCT